TTCTCAGAGGGTCAGTGATGGTAGTGAGGGGTAAGAAGGACCTTTCTAACTTATATCTTACCGCGGGGCCTCAGTTGAACCCAAAACAGCCAATGCAGGAGGGTTGACCTCGCCGTAAGGAGGAATTTGTTAGGTTTTCTTAATTTTAAAGTTCCCAAGGCTGCAGCGCCCAAACCATACCCATACCACCCAAATGTCGAGCCGTGCTATTTTAGGTGGTAGTATGAGGTACGATTTCCCGCATAGAGTTGACCAAGTTTGGATTCGGGTGTAGCTTTAAAACGCACCGACGTAAAACCTTAAAAAAAGTGATTTTTCGTCAAAATTGGCGTTTTTCTCTATGATAGACTGCCCAGGGGTCCGTTTGGGCCCTGAAATCGAATTCCTCATGCAATTTTACGTCGGAGAACGAGTTTTCAGCCAACTAGGGGCAAAACTGTAGACTTGAGAGGGATTTTTGGAAAATGTAGCAATTTGGTCAAAAACCACTTAAGAAAAAAAGTCAAAAACTAAGATTGCCCATAACTCCTATGAAACGGCACCTAGGTGGCTGAAATTTTACCCCGACGTTTACCTATGGGTAGGTAACATTTGAGCCAAAAATGTGCCAAATCGTCGATGGTTCATTTTGGGCACTGCTGATTGGCCCTGGTTTGCCCCTTCTTTCCAAATGACTAAGAAACTACCCACTTTGCTTGAAGGTGTTCAACCTGTTGAATCTGAAACCTTCTATGCACATTTTCATCTAAGAACATTGAAAATACTATTTCTGGCACTTTTTTCACCAGGGCCTCCATGGCCTTTAAGGTTAAAGGGCATTAAAGTTTTGCTCAAAAGCCCTATACCATTCACGCCCTTCCCAAGGGCATCATATGATTTACACCTCTGAGAGGCGAGAAAGAATGTTCATGCCCTAGGCGTAGTTTTTATGCCTTTGTTTTATTAGTGTATACATTGAATCAATTTATTGAAACAATCGCACAAGTCAGTGTTTAGCCAGTTTCGAAAGTCTGAAATTTTGTCCGAAGACTCTTCTTTTGCATACTTCTGGTCTTCATTTCGAAAATCGGACCTCTAGTTCTTACAAATTTGGTCGGAATTTTAAGATTTTTTTTAACAGTGCAGTGTATTATCCCTTAAATCCCCTGCCATTAGTAAATGGCTTGCATCACGTCAAAAAAACATTTTATCGACAATGAAACGTTAGAAAATAACAATTGCGTTCTTTTCCTCTGTGTGTTTTTAGAGCTGCTGCGGCACACCCTCTTCACTGCCTTCAAAGCACTGCCATGCTGGGGGTGCCGCTGCCTGCTCGCGTCTGTGGCGGTGTAGCGGCGGTCGGAGGGGTGAAGAGTGCTTCTAGGATTGTTTCCAATGTATGGGGCAGCGTAACAGGGTTTTTTTGCCCGCCCGACGACTACGTTGAGCAATGGCCTTCAAGCTCCGAACATCAGACGCCAGTGCTTGAGACGGAGAAGCCAGCGACGCCCTACACTGCATGGGACTATGCCAAAGGTGCATGTGAGCGATTCTCACGTTTCGGGGTAGTTTCGTTTCTTCTGACTCTTGTGCCCAAACGAGCGCAGATATCGACATGGGGTTTGTTTCTGATGTTAGGGAGGGCCATTGCCCACTAAACGCACACATTTGGAAAAGTTCACGTTCGTTGGATTGGTCTACGTAGCGTTTGGAATACCCCAAATGTAACTTCCGTGATTGTCCAAAGAGAACATACTCGAACTTTCCGCCCCCAGTGTGGCGGTGTGGTTCGAAAATGCTGCCAACTGTCGATGGGGATTCGAAGCTTGGCATGTCTCGAGCTAATTTCAACCGAAGACCAATACGCCAGACTTCTTTCGAAGGTACTTATGCTGCAACGAAAAATGTCCTCCGTATATTGAATTTCACTACACAAATTTCGAAAAGGCAGCTCTGGACTTCTCCCCAAGCCAAACTTTTAACTTTCCATGACACAAGCCATCAAAGTGGAGTCCCTGGGATATAATTGCATGGGTCGCGGAAATCTAAGATGCTGTACACGGTCTCAAAGCGGGCTAGAGCATTATAAAATGGCGTGTATCAACAATTACCTGTAACTTCCGTGGCACCCTTTACCCAATGTTGCAGCAGCACTAGGTGAAAAAATTTTCCGCTGAAATGTCGGGCTTAGAGTATCATTTGACCCTGGAACGACTTGTAAGCCACAGCAAGCCCGAGTCAGCCGTTAAAGCCGATTTTCACACTTTGTAACTTCCGTGATAACGTAATTTCCGTGATCAAAACACCCACTAAAACGTATGGGAATACCTTATGGCTCATGTTTTTAGGAAGATAGTACAAGGTCTTTACTATAAATACCATTGCCATAACTCTAGTATCACCCAGGACCCCAATAATCAGAAAAACTTAATTGGATATTTCTCACTTTCGGCGAATCAGAGACGCCAAAACTACCCCGAAACGTGAGAATCGCTCACGTAGGATTG